GGGGGGGGGGGGGGGGGGGGGGGGTATAGCTTTACCTCCAGAAGTATATAAGGAGAATAAGACATCTTTAACATAATAAAACGAGGATGTATGACAAAGGAGCATATGTAAATAAAACCAAATACGACCAAGAATAAAAATTAATATCATTAGGAAACTCTAATGTTTGAAAACTCCAATTTGTCGAGTTTGAGCAATCAAGCAATTGTACCCTTCAACTCCTCCCTATCCCACTTTTTCAGCTTGCAAAATTCCTTGGTCCGCAAAATAATCCACAACCAACCGGTCATAGTCATGGAACTTATATATTCGTTGTGATGATGTGGAACAGGATTCCTTAATTGCCTTGAGTAAGCTTCGAGAAGAGGTTGACTCGGAAAAAATTAGAGCTATCTCGGGTTTAGACCATGAGAAGGATCTCGAAGTATGCATTAGAGCTAAAAACAATGCTTGGCTTATTGCTCGGCTTACAAGAGGAAAGGAACTCTACATGGTTCTTGAGAAAGCCAATGAAACACTTCTCTATGCCTCTGATGCTGTTGAGAAGTTTAGTGACAGGTAACATTTTCTACTTTGGCCTTCACAGAAAATTAGTTAACTTCAAAATTATATGAGTTCTGCTTGAAGCAAAGTTAATTTATCAAGATAAGAGAAGGCAACAATGCAATTTCCTGAACTTAAATAATATTTGCCTCCATCAGAGAACTTTTGGTGAAATGTGAATATATATGCGAATTGATTTTCATCCAGAATTGGTAAGTTCAGCAAAAAAATCACTTGATTTTCTTTGATGAAAGCAGATTGACTACACACCTCAACAAAACATTGTTCTATGATGTATCCAACTGCATCACGCTCGTCCTTTTCGCTGGCTGTAAATACTCATCTCCACACAAAGTGATATAGAAGAATGAGTAAAATAAATCGGGAAGTGCTTTAGTGGTTGCTGGCATAAAATATGATATAGTCCCCTTGTTTGTAATGTGGAAATAGAAACTTTACGTGACCATAAAAACTAATGTGCACAACATAGATTAATTTAATTTCCTTCTATGAAATTGGAAATTAACGAGTATTAGATTAATTCGTTAGTAAAACTTTCGTTAGAGCAGAAATTGTCTTTTTATGAACTTGTAAAGTTTGGAAAATATGATTTTTAAAGAACGTTACATATTTACAGTGTGTTACTTTGCTTATCCATGTTGTCACAATTGTACCTATTAAGTTGTTTGTGCATTCAAGAAAAGAAATTTTGTGTTTGGTTTTTTCGACAGGCTGATCTTAGTATCACCGAGTTACATCCTGTTATATGACTCAATACGATTATGTTCACCACAATTTTCTTTGATTATGCATTATGCAGGTATTGCAATGGAGCTTTTTCTTTGGAATAGGAAAAATAGGGAAGTTACTGTTTCAATGAGCTTAGAAATCTATGTATATTCTGGCTTGTGGAGATTTTGTTTGGAAACCCGTTTACTGTAGATG